TGAGGTGGCTCACTTACAAGAGGTTGAGTCAATTATCTTCATGACAGTGATCATGGAAGTATTCAGGCAGACATGGTACTCAAAAAATAGTTGAGATTCCTACATCTTGCAGGCAACAGGAAGTGGACTGAGGCATTGGGAGGTATCCTGAACATAGGACACCACAGTGCCCACCCCCACATTGACACGCTTCCTCCAACAAGGCCACACCTATCCCAACAAAACCATACCTCCTAACAGTGCTACTGCTTATGAGATTATGGGGGAAAATTACATTCAAACTACCACAGGGTGTATTGGAATTTTCTATTCTGTTTGCCACAGACTCTATGTTTTCTTTTAAATTATACTGAATGGGAGGAGAAAAGGTAGGGGTGTAGTAAATTACGTTTCTCAAGCTACACGATCCAGCAACTCCACTGTCTGTCTTCCATTGTGCCCTGTATCACACCCACTTACACTGATCTTGCTTCTGCAACTTCTCTGGCACTCCTATTGGTCCTGGGACCCTTCACAACTTATAAAGCTCCCAACAGTCTGCCAGCACCTTATTGTGTGAAACAAGTGCCTCCATCCTTGCATCTCAATTCCAAATACAGCTTTTCTGCCTCTTGGTCCAAATGTAGCTTTAGCTCTTCTGTGCCATGCTGGCCTCCAGACCCAGAGCTCATTCATTAATTCCATTGGTACTTTACAGTTAGACATCAACTCAGTGCCACTTAAACAAGCATATTTTCCCACATACCATGTCCTTAAAATCCAAATCCACTTCCATCAGCTTTTTTCTCTCTTCCCCACCCTTTGTGAACACACACACACACACACACACACACACACACACACACACACACATACACACACACACAACCACACACACGGAGGGGAGAGAGAGTGTGTGTGCTCATTACATTTCTTGTATGGACACCAATTGTGTACATGTCATTAGCCCCAGTGGTCAATTTTTGTGCTAGATATCTCTCTTGTACTATCCCTTCCATGTTCTCTATCAAGAACCTACATCTGCCCTACTGCTTCACTGCAATTTTCCATGCAAACTTCACTAATAGCTTTCTTGTTGATTCAGCCAATGGTCACTGTTACTCTTTGTCTTGCTAACACATGGATGAAGTTGTAAATAGTTTAGAAATATCCTCTAACACCATTTTCTGGTGACCATCATTCTCCATAACAGACACATCTCTCTTCTGTTGTAGGCTCTGTCCACCAGACTATAGTATTTGTTCAGTCATTCAAGTGCTCCAAAATATAGGGTCAAGTTTTTACATTCCATTTCCACTTTCTGGGGACATGTCCTTGCTTGCAGTGTATATATGGATCTGGAGTTTTATTTCTTGAGCAGACACCACCTAGGTACTGAGAAATAACAAATGTGCTTGCTCTGCTACTTACTAGTTGTTTCCTACCAGTATTAATGATAAGAATGGCAGATAAGTTTTGTTGTATACTGACCATGTGTGAGACACTACCCAATGTTTCATGAGGCCACAAGAAGTTGGAAGTGTTCTAAATTTAATTTTTACATGTATGTAGGGCTCAGGGATGCTAAACTAATTTATTTGTGAATATTTATCTAACACCTATTTTGGGATCTAGAATTCAACCCCTGCCTGTCCTATCTGCAAGAGAGCGTAGAAGAATGAGCTCTGCCTGATGCTGCCTCTACTTCCACTGTCAGTCTATGTTCTGAACCTGACAGTCTTTGGCTTGTCCCTTTGTCAACCTCAGCACCTAGTACCACCATATAGATTGCATTGTCTCTAACTCAACAGTCTCTAGCAGCTTGGTCTTATGAAATTCTATGTAATTAGCAAGCTAAGGGTCTTTCATTATCTGTATTAATTAGTGTTTTTTTCTCTTAGCTTAAGAGGGAAAGTATATGATGTGTGCTAAAGTTGTGTTCAAGCTAGGGCAGGAACACACAGGCTTTATGACTAGCAGCTCTGATTTCATCCTTAAACCACACACATAGCAAGCAGGACACACAACAGTTTGATGTTTGTTATTAAATTTGATTTACACCTGACAAGGAGTGCTTGCTGCTATTCTAAAAAATGGCTAGTTTGGTTTACCTTTGAAAACACAGCTGCTATGTTAACATTTTGTTTAGATGTAACTGGAATAATAAGTCACATTACAAATAACCAGGGAGAGAAAAATACGCCTCCACACACATGCACACACACACACACACACACAAAGCAGTAAATGTAAATTTTTATTTCTAATGGAGCATAAGAAAGTACAATGCAATCTAGGGAACTATTCTTGCAGAAGTAACTAAATGTTCTTCTTCCATCTCTCATGTCCTTATTTCTGTGCTCTTACCCTGGTCACCTGGAAAGAGCTTTCTCCCCTTTGTCTACTCTTACACTCAGTCTAATGAGTTGTTCATTTTACCTATTAGAAATCACTAAAGTTGCTCTCTCCTGTGATTTTTCCAGTTTTTTCTTCCTGAAATTCTTCTTGAAGCACAATTCTGATATGCAATGTCCCCACTGGATACCCTTATGAAATGTTCCTGTTGCCCACAGGATATCATTCAGCCTTTTGGCAAGATTCAGTGTTAGCATTAGACTGGCCAACCTCCCAGTCCACCTTAATTTCCCACAGTTACGATTCACTCAAACTCTTCTGGCAAACTCCTGTTTCTGTGTCAATCATCACACATTTCTGTTTCGAATTCCCTGGGGTTGCACACCTCTGCACCTTGGCAGCTTGGAAGCTCCCCTATTTGTTGTGATAGACACAAGCCTATGAAAGAGTCTTCCTTGGGGTTCTCCTGAAACTTGATCTTATTTATATATCCTTCTCCTAGCCTATGCTTTATATATAAGTTCAAATGTGGTAAATGAGTTCTTTTTGTGTATTCCCTTATCACCCAGGCTAGGACCTGGTAAAGATGGCTACATGCATAGCAAACATTCAGAAGACAAGGAAAAAATAATAACACTGAGTAATCTGCAAAATTCCTTGTAGGTTTGCAACAGATGTACTTATGAGAAAGCTAGCACCTTTCTATTTTGGCTACCCAGGATTCTGTCACTCTTTTAATAATGCCTAATGGTCATTGGGGAGTATTCTAGACCCAGGAGAACACAGACAAAATCTCCTTAGGACATAATGCCAGATACATCATTTGAAAGAGCCAAGGAAAATGAAACACACAGGGCCACTTGTTTCAACAGTCTTGAAAAATTTAAGAGGGTGACAACAGTGTTTGGATTAGCGAGAAGTCCTCTGAAATTACATAGGCCACATCCTGACAAAGGTGGTTCTTCCAAGGAGCTATGAAGCAGGAGGGGCCTAAACATGGTCTGTAGTCATTTCTCCTCTGCTGCATCAGAGTCTGAAGCAGTGGTTTTCAACCCTTCTAATGCTTTAATACAGTTCCCCATGTCGTAGTGACCCCCAACCATAAAATTATTTTCCTTGCTACTTGATAACTATAATTTTGCTACTGTTATGAATCATAATGTAAATATCTGTGTTTTCTTAGACAACCCCTGTGGAAAGGGCATCCAGCCCCAGATGGGTCATGACCCACAGGTTGAGAACCATTTGTCTAAAGGGAGGCTCCTACATGCTGGGCTCAGTGGCCACACAAAGATTTATGAAGGTCAGTAAGAAATGTTTGTTGAATGACTTCTGTGTACTCCATGTCTTCTAACATTGAGGGATGCAGTTGAGAAACTGATAGCTATATGGTGTGTGTGTGTGTGTTTGTGTGTGTGTGTGTGTGTGTGTATGTGTGTGTGTGTGTGTGTGAGAGAGAGAGAGAGAGAGAGAGAGAGAGAGAGAATGTGTACTTCAGTGATGACAGCCCACTATAAACAAATTCAGAAAGAAATGCCCATGAAAATAAGCAGGTAGAGAGCAGTGCTCAGAACATGACAAAGCAGTGTAATGTAATAGGGATGGTGCAGAGAGTTTATTAAATTAGTGTGCTATAGCCAAACCTCTCCACAGAGCCTTCAGGCTCACAGTGTTTTCTATAGCTACAGGTGAAGGGTGATGCTGCTAGTGTCCAACAAGAGCTTGTCATTGTCACGAAAATCTCAGAAATCAATTCAGGGGGCCTTTGCAAAAGAAGTACTCCAAGGATGCTGGAGTTTTTTGCTGTGTCAACCCACTTCTATGCCTTCTCATTTCTTCTTTTGGTATTCTATGGAGCAAAGACCTAAGAAAAAATTGCCAGCCCTATTGCAGAGAGGCAGTTTCCAAAGCCTCCTCTGATACCCAGGCCCCAAGGTTGAACCGGAAGCAACGTTGAGTTGGTACCCCTGTGGGATTCAGTCTGCTAGTGGCTGTTCCGTTGCCTCCTGCATACCGATGGAATTGACCTATAGAGTGATTCAGAGGTTACTAAGGTTACTATGAGAACCACTAAGCATCTCTTCTTCTCTGCACCAAGGGTGGTACTGAATTGTCCAGCTTCTTTCTGATGCCAGCAGATGTGCACCGAAGGGCTGGAGGGTGTGGAGTGAGACCAGGAAAAATTAACGAGGCTAGGGGGAGATGTGAAAGAGCAATGGGGCTCAACAGGTATTAATGCAAAGCACAAGGACCTCAGAGCTTGTCATGGTTCTGGAAAGGGTCTCAGCAAAGTGTCCCTTATCCGTCTGCTGACCCACAGGCGCCTACTCTTGCCCAGCCAGCGGAGGCTTCCCAAGCCACAGCCGCTAGTGCATTTTCCCCAAGCCCAGGGCCTCACGCTGCAGACTCGCCGCCTCCTCACTCCTCCCGCCCCCCGCCCTGGCTGTCTGGCAGCGCCGCAATGCTGGTGGCTGGGGGCCTTGGCGACAAGGCTCCCTCCTCTCCACCCCCTGCCTGCCCGCCCCAGCCTCGCTCCCCGCTGCCGCAGTGATCACGTCGTCGGAGATTTCCATCGGGGCTCAGGGGGCGGGCCCACAGTGCGGAGCGCGGGCTGGGGCGGGGCGAGTGGGAGGAGTGAAAGTTGGAGCCCAACAAAATCCTCCACCTCTCTCTGAGCGGCCAGAACTGCGCTGCGACCTCAATACAGGTGGTCGCGCCAGGCACCGCTGAGATGTTGCCCAAAGTTCTGCTGATGCTCCTCAACATATTCCTGGCCCTCCAGTGGAGGTGAGTCTCCATCCCAGCACCCAAGAGCCCTCTGTGCCCAGTAGGCTTCCGGGACCCCCGGGGTTCCTTGATCCCAGCTACCGCTTTGCCAAGGGGTGTCCTGATGGCCAGGCCAGCTTGGACCCTTGTTCCCTCGACGCGCGCCATCCTCCTGTGTGCCCCCTCGTAGGAGGGTGTCCCGGGCTGACGACGGGGAGCACGGGGAAGGCAGCTGGGACCATCTTCTGTTGGCGTCGTGGACTCCCGTTGGCCCTCAAAGCCCTGGAACAGGCTGCCAGGCAGTCAAGAACACCTGGTTCCCTTTCGGAGTCTGACGTAGGACCAGGGGAAAGGGCTGGCAGAAACCACTAGAGCTAGGGCATACAACTCACGGTTGTTCTGAGGACTTTGGGAAGGTGGCTCTTCGGCTGGGGGACCTGAAGTGCCTCGAAATGTTTGACTGTTTCCTAGTCTGTTCACTCTTGCTCACATTTTTCCCCCAGAGCGCCTGCTGAGCACCAGGCATGATGCCAGGCAACTCTGACTTTACTTGTTTCCTCATCCCGTCGCGTTTTCCTTCCAGTCCCAGGCAGGAGCCTGAACCTTGGTTGTCTTAGGGTTCCCACCCCATCTGCCTTCTTTTTACCTTCTCTCCCCAAGTCACCCTGCTTGATCTTAGGGGCAGACCTGAGTCAGAGATCAGAATGCTTTTCTTTCCCGAGGTCTGTGGTTTGTGGCCTGGATTTCTAGCCCTCTCTCTTTTTCTGTTTCCCTTGAGCAGCCAGGCTCCCTTCCATAATCCTCTGACCCTGGGTATTGGTAAGAAGGGTGTTCCTGGGATATCTGGCCTTTTATGATGGAACATAACTGCTTCGTGTTTTTTTTTTAACTCTTTCGTTCTTCCCTTCTTTCGGAGACTGTTTTGGATGGGTTGTAAACTGTCAGAAGTTCTTAAGTGTCCTGATTTGTCGAGGTTTCTAGAAGTCTCCATGGCACTGAGCTTGTGTCTTTTCATTTGTTTGTTATGAGAATGGGCAATGTGTCTTCTCTCCCCACCCAGGTTATAGCTCCTCAGGGAGGCATATGTGGTTCTTTGTTGGCTCCCTGGTGCCCTAAGGTGAAGCCGGCCTCAGCAGGGGCTTGGTAAATGTTTCTAAATGCATACTAGCAATTTCTTGTTATCCATATCCCTTTAGATGGGATTTTTCTGGAACAAAAGATGGCTGAGGATGAGGGAGGGGGCGTGCAGAAGAAGGGAGGGAGATGAAAGGAAAAACAGCCCATCCAGTGGGGGTGGGGGAAACAGACACTGACGTGCACACACTGTCAGCATGGCAACCTGTGATGTCAAGAAAGGGGAGGTAGCAGTGGGGTGTGTTGGTCAAACTTCGATTTGGTCAGATGTGTGATTTTTGAGCATAGCCCTCTCTCCATACGGTTTATTCATCAATCAATTGAAAAGGCCAGCGTATTTGAGAAAAAAATCCAGGGCCTTCCTCATGCTTCTTTGCTCCCCTCTTCAGCTAGATTTGTAAGGTGCAGAGCTTCAGTCTCATCCAGTATTACCACATCTAGAGGGTTGTGGATGTCTGAAAAGCTTCCTTGGAAAATCCTATTAGGCCAATGTGGTTTTCTAGGCTTTATTCTTTCTAGCCTTGAAAAAGAGTTTGGTGGCTTTTTGGAAATGGGTATGTGTACACAGGAGATTCTTAACCCAAAAGATCTCAAGGTGTGGCTGTTTGTTTACACTGGCAAAATCAAATTGAAGGATCAAAGCAACCTCCACCCCTCACACATCATTTTTCTTGCAGGCCAATGTTGACCCTTATCTCTTCAGAGACCTTGGGGATTAGCCTCCAGATGCCTAGGAGACTTGAAAAGCCTTAGGAGAGAAGATATCATCTAGATATGGCATTTGAAAATGGAAATGCTTTTCCCAGACCCAGTCTTTTCTTACCCCACTATGAGAATTAGCCATTTCAGAAATGAGAAATGGCACCAGCTTAGCACATCTGTATGCCAATTAAACTATTCTAAAATCTCTGAACACTGCAGGAAAAAATGCACTTTGATTTCCAATTGCCAGTCTCCTGGTCTGAGTTCAGGTACCTGCTCACCCTAGGCTCTAATTCTCATTTTAGGGGTGAAGTTTGCCTGGTGGCTTTATAATACCATTTTACAAGTTTAATAGACAAATATGAAAACACAGCAATCATAAATGAATAACAACTCAGTGAATTTACATAAAGTAAGCATGATCAAGTAACCAAAACCTAGATGATAAGGAAACAATTGCCCTCCCCCCCGTAAGTCTCACCAAATGTACAATCTTCCTAAAGGAAACTTCTCTCTTGCCTTTCAACATCAAGTGTTAATTAGTGCTGATATCTTTTTCAAATGATTTTAATTGCATTTCTCAAGGATATATGGTAAACAGAATTTCCATATACCCACCGTAAGCCTTAACATTAATGAAAAAATTAATGGGCACTTATTTTCTCTGTCCCCAACCTACCACCCATTTTAACTTAGGTTTTTTTTTAAGAATAGATCTCAGACATCATACCATTTGTATGTTAATATTGTTGTCATTAAGGGCTTCACCACTAAAAATATCATTATTACACCAAATATTTAATAATGATTTATTCATGCCTTGGTTATTCAGTTAGTGTTAAATTTCTACTATATGTTTTTTTGCAGTTTTGGTTTTAAAAATCAGAACTCAAATGTGTTCTATATATTAGCCAGTGGGGTTATTTTTGAGACAGGGTAGGACTTTATATTGTTGAAATGCCTTTTTACTGTATTAGAACTCATATACAGAAAGTTGTTTAAATAATAAGCATCCAACTGATGAGGTATCACAAAATGACTACAGTGGGGCCCTTTCATCACTGCCTCTCATTTTGTCCTCTGACACTGTGGGGGATTTCCACACATTAGCTGGATTTCTAAAGTGTTGTCATTATTATCATTATTATTTCTATTGCCATAATTGCCACTGGTATCCAAGATGGTCTCCTATTGGTTATCCATTTCTTGGGTGCAGGACACAGTATAAAAGATATCCACAAATCGCTTCTCTATAGCCTGCCTTCTTCCACCTCAGAATCCCAATATGAGAATTAAGAAACCATCCCAGAAATTTTTAGTCCTATTTCCTTGCAAGCATTCCTCAGCAGCCCTAGCCTTTGGCCTGCCCTATCCTCTTATTTGCTGAGGCTCAGGCAGATATGAGGCCAATGTTAGTAACAGCAGCACAGCAGCTGATTGACCAGAGTTACGGAAATGATGCCCACGTACTTGATTTCACATGAAATGGTCTTTGAAAATGTAGTCTAATATTTGTTGATGACTAGTTTAAAGTAAAAACCTATGAAAGAAGGATTGCAATACACAGTCTCCAAAGAGCAATACAATTTAAAAGGAATTATCAAGTTTAATTTGTTAGTGCCTCCTCAGTTACTATCACTACTCACTAATTAAGCTCTCTGTTGTAAATATTTTGCTTTCCTTGTGTCCCAAAAGGCATCAGCCTGATTTTAGAGGGCAGAATTTAATTTTTTGATTGTATATTTTAGGGTTGGCCTTCACATTAAACTGGAGAATAAACCCGCTGCCCAAGATAATGTAGTCTTCGGTCCTCAGCGTAGGCCTGTGCCTCAACCTCTCCTTCAGCCTGAGTCTTCTGCGGATGATGATGCAGTCTTCAGCCCTCAGCCACAGCCTCAGCTCAAATCCCCTGGCCGTGATGATGATGTAGTCTTAAGCTCCCAGCCCCAGCCTCCGCCTCAGCCACAACCTCTGCCTGAGCCCCAGCCTGAGCCCCAGCATCAGCCACAGCCACAGCCTCTGGCTGGGTGCCAGCCTCTGCTCCAGCCCCTGCCTGGTCCCCTGCCTTGGCCCCTGCCTCCTCCCCAGCCTGCACCGGAGCCTCAGCCTGAGCCCCAGCCTGAGCCCCAGCCTCATCCCCAGCCTCAGCCTCATCCAGAACCTCAGCCGCAACCCCTGGCTGGGCGCCAGCCTCTGCCCTATCCTCTGCCTTGGCCTCAGCCCCTGCCAGATCCCCAGCCAGAGCCTGAGCCGGAGCCAGAGCCGGAGCCGGAGCCGGAGCCCCAGCCAGAGCCCCAGCCAGAGCCTGAGCCGGAGCCCCAGCCTCACCCTGAATCTCAGCCTCAAACTGAGCCCCAGACCCCAGTCCAGATCCAGGATGGACGTCAACCACGGCCCAGGCCCCAGCCTGAGCCCCAGCCCCAGCCCCAGCCAGAACCTCATCCAGAGCCTCAGCCCCAGCCAGAACCGGAGCCCCAGCCGGAGCCCCAGCCGGAGCCCCAGCCGGAGCCCCAGCCTGAGCCTGAGCCGCAGCCCGAGCCAGAACCCCTGCCGGAGCCAGCGCCGGAGCCAGAGCCGGAGCCAGCGCCGGAGCCAGAGCCGGAGCCAGCGCCGGAGCCAGAGCCGGAGCCAGCGCCGGAGCCAGAGCCGGAGCCAGCGCCGGAGCCAGAGCCGGAGCCAGCGCCGGAGCCAGAGCCGGAGCCCGAGCAGGAGGCTCAGTCTAGTGGAAAGAAGATTTCAGCAAAACAAACAGAACTCACTGTTGATTGCATGACTGAACTCTCAGGAGAGAACCTGACAAGAGCTTCTCAAATCCTTAGCAACATCCTGAGTAATTATGACCATAAACTGCGCCCTGGCATTGGAGGTGAGTTAACAGAAGAAATCTCTTCCCTTTCTTGAAGGAAAAACATGTCTCATATGTAGTTGTGGGCAGTGAACAGGGGTTACAAATGAAGGTGCCACACATAGACAGGAACAACTGAAGCTGATCCACCAGTTTAAGAAGCAATGGCTCCTCTAGGTCAACAATTCCAGAATAAGATGAATGATCTGAAGGTGTATGCCAAACCCTTACAGTCCATGAGCTGGGGCTTTCCCTAGAAGAACAAAGGAAATGGGATAGACCCTCTTCCCTCCTTTTTGATGACTCCCTCCTTGGTGCCATGCCTCTATGTGACATTCACCCTGTACTACTTCTTGCCTTACAGAGAAGCCCACTGTGGTCACTGTTGAAGTCTTTGTCAAGAGCCTCGGGCCTATTTCCACCCTGGACATGGTAAGTACTGAGCTTTGATGACAGTTTTTCCTCGATTGGGCACTAAGGGGCCTGGCATTTAGTCCTGCTTTCTGCTCTTTGTGTTATTACTACAAGAGGTGGGTTTTTGTTATTTGGGACCTCAGGTGGGGACTCTTAATCATAATTAAGCTAAAAACATGATGGAAAAGGTAAGTACTTTGCTGCTTGAAGTGGACCTTTGGAATTGTGACGCTAATCTTTTTTCCTTTAAAATAAAACAATAAAACAACTGTAGCATTTTGTCTGATTATTTATATGAACTAAAATTTACAGTTACCATTTCTTGCTGTACACCTGTCCCTGAAATTTTGTCTTAATTCTTTTGTCTCCTTTCCTTTCCACTGTTATTAATATGATCCTCAGTTTACCTTCGTCATCTTCTACCTGAATTATGCAAATGTTTCCTTGTCCAGCCCTACTGAAAAAGCTTCCTCAGTGAAGTAACTCTTAAACTTATAGTTGAACCTCACAATCTAGCAAGCATGCCCTCTCCTACGACTTTGGGTTTTTTAACCCCATTAAAGTCTGAAAAATATGACCAAACTATAATATGCAAATTCCTTGTATCTTGTACCTCAGAGGTGGGCCTTTGTTCAAGTTCACTCATTTGGGTTTTAGCTCAGATCTTGCTCATGACAACTTCTCTTACTCACATAGCAATTAACTGATCCCTTTATACACCATACCCCTGTCTGGGTATTCACATTTTTCTGGCTTACAAGTAGCTATCTTCCTTAACTTATTTCAAGATAAATTGTTTTATGTTGGTCTTGCTATCTCTGTTATGAAATACTTGATGCTAAGAACATAGTATATGGTAGCTGGCAAATGGATTACAAAAGATGCTTTGCAAAATTCAGATGTGAAATATCTGATAAAGAAAGGTTATGGTAGCCAGCTCCATATTAGCCATTGATTTGTTTTGTCCAAATGTAGAGCCAGTTTTAACATACTTACACCTAATCAGTTTTTTTGTTTTTTTATTATTTTAATTTTAAATAGCTTGTTTTACATGTCAATCCCAGTTCCCTCTCCCTCCCCTCCTCTCACACCCCCCCCACAATCAGTTTTTAACATACTTACACTGTATAATCTGGGTGTTCAGTGTTCAGAGGCTTGATGTTGAGATGGGAGTGCCTGATAGACTCAGAGGTAAGTAACATTAATGGAAATCAAGCTGTTTACATATAGTAAGTGAAAAAGTGGATCAGAATGGTTTCTTCCTCTTTATTATGCCATTCTAAATTCTAGCAAGCTGGCATATTTCTTCACTAGTAAGCTTCCCACCTTCACCTAGTTAGTGTTGGCTAAATTTCATAGGCTAATGTGTAGGAGAGACCACACACATTGATAAACACAGAAAATGATCCTAAGTTGCTCAGTTCTATATTTAGAATGAGTGCCCTATAAAGTCAAAAATCAGTGGAAAACTTATCAGTTGTGTAGGTTATAATTTGGGGGAACTGGTTTCTATCCTCTGCCCCACTTATGCACCATCTCTCGTTCCTCATCTATCAACCCCTCTAGTACTAGTCTCACCTGAGCATCTATGTATGCAATCTAGTCACCTAGAAGTCACTCAACTTGATATCATACACAGAGCTTCTTCTGCATGAGACCAACAGTCTGGTTTATTTAACTGATAATTTTTTAACCTTCCAAAGCATTATATGATACATAATCTCCCCTGAAGTTTCAGCTTCTGCATAGTTACATGTAATTCAATAAAATAAAGGGGGTCCCTGTTCTTGTTCAACCTGCTTTCCTCTAATTCATTTGCTGAGGAGAACATAGCCACAGATCATGCCAATGCTCCAGCATGGATTATCTCTGTTGTTCTTTGTGACAGCAGAGTATTCTTTTCAGACCTCAACATTCGAAGCATTGATTCAACATTGAAACATTGATTGTCTCAACAAGGTTTGTTGATCAAAGGAGTAGCAACCAAGTCAGTGGAGTTGGTTAAGTGTATATTTGACACTAGTCACTTGGGCAGGTAGAATAGTAGAGAGAAACTTAAAACATTGTAATAAAATATTTCTACTCTCCTCCTTGCTTAACTCTGAAAACATCCAGTCTGACCTTAAAAACAGTGACTATTCTGGGGAAAACTGCCTGGTCACAGCATCCCCAGTTGCTAATGCTGGCTCTTACTATGGTAATTATTGCAGGTGATTCTAACTAAGGCAGTTCTGAAACACAGCATTTCTATTTCATCTAAACTAAAAGAGATCAATCTCTAGCTCCCTATCAAACTGGGAGAAAATTTAATTGCAAACCATTAGTTATATGTTGATGTATGAAGAATTTATAATCGGTATCTTCTTAAAAGGCAGTGACTGAAATGCCTCTTTTTAATATTTTATAGTAGACCTTCAGTACGGTTGAAGGAGATGAAGGTTTCCCACCGACCACTATACAGTTCATATGCTAGAATGCAGATGAGACTTTGCCAGCTAATTGGAAGGTGCAAATTCTTTGAAGGCTCTTTGTGAGGGTAGATGGAGTAGGACAGGACAGGACATGACAGTACAGGGCTGGACAGGATCAGGAGTTCTGCCATTATCTGCCTAACTTTCTGGTTTATTGTGGTAAACACTTTACCACGCACTTACTTTTCTGGTTACCAGCAGTCTGGCAGCTGTTTCCAACACTTACTGTCCCAGTGCAGTAAAGACCAGCAGGGATTTTGTTCCCTCTTCTCTGAGGGTGCTGATACCCTTTAACTTCTTGGTCACAGTGTCTCACTGGTGATAGACAAATACTCTACCACTGAGGTATATCATTGACCTCTTTTTGTAAATTTTTTTTCACTTTTGAGGCAGGGTCTTAATCATTTGCCCAGACTGGCCTTGATTCAGTCTAGCCCAGACATGACTTGAACTTTGCATCCTCCTGCCTCAGCCTCCCAAGTATCTAACATTAGAGACCTGTGCCATCGTGCCCATCTGATCCTTGTTCTTTGGTGCAGGATTATTCAGGCCTAGGGAATTTGGACCTTGATACCCGAAGGGAATTTTTTTGGTGCAAGTGAAGGCAATGACAGGGTAAAGTTATGGTAATGATGCTCTGAGTGACAGAGCTAGTGTGCCATCACTTGCTATGTGACTTTGGACATATTATCTCTCTGAGTCTCAGTTTACCTACATCTAAAATAAATTAGGCAAGAATCCTTTAATTGTGCTGTGACAGAGCTCTGGTGTTTGCTTCAAACTGATTGCAATTGCATTGCCATCTGACATTGCCCTTTAAGCCTCAGCCATGTGAACTTCCTGATTCCTGTGCTTCTTATTAAACGTATTCCTTGGTGTTTAACAGACAGTTTATGGGATCCATAATATCTAGAGACCACATAATCATGGAACTATCTGTTCATGTGCACATACTCTTCAGAGATTATATGGGCACTTATTTGAAAGGGAAAATAAAACAAAGCACAAACATAATTCTCCTTGTTAAAAATACAATAGATAGACAGTTTTTTCTTGTGAATCAAATCATTTTATTTGAAAATATAATTCTGGGGAAAGAATGGTTGGGTTTGATTAATAGCTGTGTGCCATGAATAAAAGCTGAAAGGGAACCTTTCCTGTATACAATAAGTTTTGTGTTGTGTGTGATTATACATTTTGAGCTGAACAAGTGTTGTCATAGTAAGACTAGCACTACGGTCCTGTGTAGTGAGGGATCCACCCAGCCACACAAGTCCCGTGTATCTTAATTTGTGCATCTGCAGTCTTGTATAACTGCAATGATGTACTGATTTCAGCTGTATAATGATCCATCATAGCCCAGGGATTTATTAATGAATGAAATGTGCTATCTATTTGAGAATATTACTCTCTTTTCAGCACATGTAACAATGGAAAATTCCTGCACCCGAGCATATGTTGCTTTATTCTTTGTAGTCCTGGGTGGATGCAAACCTAAGGGTCTGTGAATGGCATGAGGTCTTTCCCTACTGGCAAAGAGGAAAGGTGATAATGTTGACTACAAAAGGAAGCTGAGCCGGGCGTTTGTGGCACATGCCTTTAATCTCAGCACTCAGGAGGCAGAGGCAGGCAGATCTCTATGAGTTTGAGGCCAGCCTGGTCTACAGAGCGAGTTCCAGGACAACCTCCAAAACAATACAGAGAAACCCTGTCTTGAAAAAAAAGGAAGATGAACTGTTTGAGGGAACTTCCCACAAAGATGAAGCAGAATACTTACAAATTTGAGATTATCCCAGGCTTTGTAATAAGATCCCATATCAAACAACAAAACCCAAATGATAAAACATCACTTCTGGAGCTTAATTCTCCAGAAAAGGATTTAGACTTGTTTTGTATTCATCTACAAGGCACAAAGGAGTTTTGTATGAGAATGTAGAAAGTAGAGAACTCATTTGTGGTTCTGAGCTGTGGAAGAATGGTATTAATCACTACACAGAGGGGGAATTAGCTCTCTTAGTTGTGGCAATTGAGCAGTATGTGACTGACTTTTTGCCCGTGTTAATGTCTGAGTCCCTTTCAATCTTAACACTGAAAGAACTGGGTAAAAACAAAAGGAACTCCATTCCTCTTCAACTTCTTGGGCCAGTGTTTCATGTATTCTACTATGCTGTCTTCAGGGTTCCATGTTAAGTAGTGACAGATACCACATTTGCGTGCGACTATCCCTTGTCTACTTAGTCCCAAGTATATGGTTTTCTGTCCCTTCCCACCAGGAATATTCCATTGACATCATCTTCTACCAGACCTGGTATGATGAGCGTCTTCGTTACAATGACACCTTTGAGACCCTTGTTCTACATGGCAACATGGTGAGCCAGTTGTGGATCCCGGATACCTTTTTTAGGAATTCTAAGAGGACTCATGAATATGATATCACCATACCCAACCAGATGGCTATCATCCACAAGGATGGAAAGGTGTTGTACTCAGTTAGGTATGTCAAGCATTTAGTGTTTCATCTCCTAGGACTTTTCACTCTTAAAGAAAATTTTAGCTAATGACACCTATGTAGATATATCATCCTGAATACTATTTCTAAAATCTGTGCAGCTTTTCTAGACTGGTTATTCAACCTCTTCCTAAGCAGATATAGATACTGAGACCTTAAACTAAAAGATACTATTTAAAGACACATTCCAAGTTTGTGGCAAATTTGGGAGCTGTTATTTGCCCTACAGTCTACAAGGTACTGGCGTAACTGCATTGCCTGGACAATTCCATCCCATGTGGGCACTGTATATAAAGACACGTCCACGGCAGTGAAATTGTCCAGGCAGAGTAGAAATACATCAGTTGGAAAGGTATACAAGACTAGGCTACATATGTTGAATGCCTGTAAGGAGATTCTTGTGTCAGAAGTGTGGGGCATGAAGATGGTGAAGAGTAGAATAGTGCAGGCCTGAGTTGAGTAAGAAAGAAAAATCAATCTAGGTGGTTCCATGTACTTCTCTGATGATGGAGCTCAGTACCCAGATATCAGAAGCTCTTCTTCCTCTCCTTGTATCACTTCTTTGAGCTTTTTGTCTTAAGTTCTACTGATGCCATTCATTGGAGATAATCCCCTGGCCTATATTGAGTGAATACCTAAGTCCTCAGAGTCAGCCTAATGAGGCTCCTTTCTCCCTTCCAGGATGACCATTGATGCGAGATGTTCACTCTACATGCTCAAATTTCCAATGGATTCTCACTCTTGTCCCCTGTCTTTCTCTAGCTGTGAGTACCTTCTTAGGTTTCTGGGGATCCAGAGATATGCTGGGCCCTCTTTTCCTCATCTTTACCTTTTACATTTTCTGCTTCTGCTTTTTTTCCACTGTAATTGTGTCAAAGTTGCTACAAGCCTCCATTTTCCATCCTCACCTCCTTTGCTGCCAACAATGCTGTGTTTGCATTACCTTGGCTTTATGTTGGAGTCTTCCTTCACACTTGCTCTACCTTAAGCTAGTCACCTGCTTCTGAAGTACACCTAAAGCATGTCTGCTCCTCTCCATCTCTGCTTTGATGCAGGGCTTTATCATCTTCTGCTTGAACTTCTGCAACATCTTCACTTTGAAACAGAATGTGTTCTAAGCTAAATTCATTGTCTCTTCACAACTTCTGCCTCCAAAGAGAATGTGTTGCTTCTGTGTTGCCATTGGCCTCATTGAAAGGTGCCATCACACACCCAGTTGTCCAAGCCAAGAACTCTGACATTTCCCTCTCAATAGCCTCCTACATCTATTCAGTCCACACATGCCGTTGGTGCTACCTCCAAATCTGTATGGATCCTACCTATTTTTCTACATTCTGAACTTTCATTCCTGCCTTCATTCATTTTACTGTGTTTAGACTACTGCACTGGCATCCCATAAGTGGCACATTGCCAATAGGCTACACTTTCCTTAGAACCAGAGTGGCCTAGCTCAAGCACCATGTAAACCAGGTCACTTCCTCATTTAAAATCTTTTCTTAGCTGTCATGGATAATTCTAAATTCCTTAAAATGAACCTTAGAGCCCTTCATGACCTGACCCCTGCTGCTTCCTGCTGCGCAACCCATCTATGAAGTAGTCACCCTAAGTTTTTGCTGTTTCCATGTTCACCTTTCTGTGCTTCCCTTTCACATTCTTTAGTTTAATTTATATGGGAACATTTACTTTCAAAATTTAAAGTGAATGCTCCCTACTCTATGAAGTCTTTTCTGAATGTGTTCCCAAGTGATCTTTCCCAACTTTGACCATTGTTCCATGGGCAGAGATTTTTCAGAGCAACTCCAAAAATCACAGCTCTATGGCCTTACTCAGTGAAATGTGAATGCTGGAGGGTTATTCATGACTTACTCATCTTTGCATTCAAATCCCAGGGCAAATGTGCTTATTGAATGGACTTCAACAACCACGACAGAGGCAAGGTCCCCAAACTGGTGAATCCAGAGTCAAAACTCCAAAACATGGCCCAAGCTAACACCATGTGTGTGGGGCACTCAGCTGGGTTTCCCAGTCTCATTAACTCTTCTTTTCCACGTTGATTTCCAGTTTCCTATGATGAACATGAAATGATCTACAAGTGGGAGAATTTCAAGCTACAAATCAATGAGAAGAACACTTGGAAGCTATTCAAGTTTGATTTTACAGGAGTGAACAACAAAACTGAAATCATCTCAACCTTAGTTGGTATGTGTGCAGTGGGAGACTGGGTTGGGCAGAGTCTGGGGGAGTAGTACCAGTAACTGGAAGTGTCTGTACAAATGCTGCAAGAACACATGGAAACACTGTGTAGGACATTGCTTCTCTCTTATACATGCTAAGCACTTACAACTGTTTGCAGAGGAAACTGAGACTTTATAATTATGTCTCAGTCTCATCTGCAAAGAAGTGATTTTTCCAAGCCCCTTGAAAGATGAGGTAAGTAGATACATTTTTGTAACTTTTTGGAATGTTCATCTACCTTTGTTTTTTAGATCATTTGGGTTCAAGGTCTTTTTTATGTCACTTAGACAACATTGGAGAGGAGGTACTTGTGTGATTTCTCCTCACCCAGAACCAATCCAAGCTGGTTGAATGGGAAACAAGATCCACCCTAGCAGGAGGGGGAAGGGAAATCTAGTATAGTAATGGTGCCTAGTGAGGGTTGGGGGAGTCTGCAGGTAGTTACTCAGCTGCAATGGCTGCTGCAGCAACATTATCTTAAAGAAGCAACTGTGAAAAGCAAGATTGCCATCGAAGGCATCATAGTGAAATAAACATAGGCATGGTGATATTTTTACTTTTTAATCTTATTCCTAAAAAGGTGAAAGGGGCAGATTCTGGGTCTCTTAACTTGTAGCTCCCAAATAGATGTGAGCATCTTTGCTTGTATTCCTAGGTTATCTGAACGAGGAGCCAAGAAATCTTCCCAGGGTAGCTCTGAGAGCAACCCTGAACCCTCTTCACATGTACTGACAAGAATGTGGATGGAGCAGGTTACCCAGCCAGCCTTTTGTCATGGGAAGCATTTGCTTTGCTTCTGTGTGATGACAGAAAATCTGCTTTTGCTACTGTTGGCCCCTGGGTGAGGGAAGCTTATGCTCACCTGACTAAAGCTTTGCTCACACAGTAGTAGACAGGGGATGGATGCTGCTTTACAAATGCATTTCTTTTTTCCTGGGGGCCTCTGAGAAAGCCACCTTGCTTCCTTTGGCTTTGGGATCCTTGCCTTTGTACTAGTTAACTGCCTCTTAGCTTCATGCACCTCAGTTTCTCCAGATAGGTGGAGAGCCATCATCAAAATTGGCAGAGGAGACAAGGCCCAGGGGCTTTCAAGTCACTAGTGGTTCCGTTTAGTAGATGATTTGCATATTGTTTCAAAATGGTGCCCTAGTGACTACAAAGCCCCAGAGCTGGCATCATCGGTGAAGCAATGGCAGTAGGTAAGCAACAGCTCTCCCTGTGGAGAAAGGAAAAAGTCTTTTTTCTCTTCTGCCAGAGACTACTTGTTCTTAAGTCATGGTTTCTCCACTGCCAGAGTTATCTTTGAAATAGGTCCAAACTCTCCCAGTTCTACCCCGGGGCAGTTCTTTCCAGCTAGAGCACAATGTACTCGTTTTTCAGGGTTTAGAATGCAGCAGTGCCCTGAAACTTGGGCGGCCTTGGACCTTAGAGCAGTCTCTGCTTCAGGAGCTTCTCAGAAAGTACAGTCCTGCCTGTAGTAAGTTAACTATCCTTTACTGATGGTTGTTGTGCCTCCAAGGAAATCTTGCCATGATCAGGAGTTCACCATCTTGTAAGGAGACTTCTTCCTTCTCTAGACAGTTCTTCCCATCAGAAAATTCTTCTTGTTCATCTGTAGCGAGAGTCTCTGGAATATTTACCCATCAACCTAGTTCTTTCCCCTATAATTACCCAATTTACATGAACTAAAGTCATTCTTTCAAGAGGTCAAATTTAAAGACCTAGTGTTACTGTCAGAGCATTGGTTTGTATTCTATTGGGACTATGATCCCAAGTTCCCTTTCTTCCCTTTCTCTTCAATGTCTTCATTTCATGAGTCCTCTAGACAGTCTTTTAATTGTGTCTTTTTGGCAGTGCTACTACCAACCATGATCTGGACAAAGCAGGTAAGAGCAAAAATTATATTTAATACATTTTGTTTTGTCTTGGCTTCCAACCCTAAACATCTTTCTTCCATTGGTATTGTTCATTCACTCATCAGAAAGAAGAAAACTCATGTTAGGATCACTTTCTTGGCAAATTTCTAGCTTTTAATAAATGAGGAAGTTTCTTCTTTAGTCAGAATAAATAAAATTTAAAGTATGAGAAATCCAACATCATAATAAATCTTGTGACAATGTGTATACAGCCAATTATGGGAGTTTTAAGTCACAGTCAAGACTCCAGGGCAGAAAAACTAATAATTTGATCATCCTTGCTAGTAGCATAGGGTGGTCCCTGGTGCAGTAATGGAGAAATTCTAGCATTAAAAGTACTACTATTTAGGAAACAAGTTTCTTACTGATCCTAGACCACTTTTTGCCTTTTCTCTGAAGAATTTAAGAAACTTTGTTCATCCAAGTTCAGTGCTTTTAATGCCTGGAGAAAAGACTCTCTTTTGTCCTGTTCAGATTTGCCAAGCAGCTGGTCTGTTTCCTGTAGAGTCTACAGTATAGACAATTAGTATTTGAGTCTGCTTTCCAAGGATATGTCCCAGGGGTAGAAAACATCACTGAATATATTTGGCTTCCATGTTGTTCCAGACTTGGTTGGTTAGGGGCTAAGCTGAAGGTTTTACATTAGCCCTTCCTGGAAGGGACTTGAATGTTCACTTAATTGAAAGTCATGGATATCTACAGCATTATTCAGGTGGGAATTCAGGGCTTTGCTTCACAGAAAAGCCATAGTCGAAGCAATTTAATGTCCAGTATCACGTGGAGAATAAAAATGATGCTTTGGGCAAACTAAGTATGAAGTCATAATACCATGAAGAATGTTAGGAACAGCATGTTTAACAGAGAATGCCAGCTGGAAATACAGGTTAGATCAGTTTCTGAAAGATCCATTGCTATCTAGAGAATGAACAAAAGAAGATCATCGTGCTCAAGTGAATGTGAAAGCCTAAGCTACCTTGGGCCTGGGTAGTCTACAGACCTAACATTTAGGGATTGACTGGCATTTTAATTTTCAACTAATTCTTCTATTTTTCTAGAACATTGAATTTACGTTAGCAGTAATATATTAAGAACAGGGAGTCCAGGATTTATTTACAGAATAAATATGTAGACTATGTATACTTGGAAGCAGCTTAAATTAGTTTTGGGTAAGGTGTGCATGTTGTGTGTATTCCTGCATTTCTTTTAGTCAGATCAAGTTAGGCCTTAACATCAGAATACAGAGTGTAAATGATATTGTGTAGCTCATATATAGCAGAACATGTCATATTCACCTAACCCAAGAGGGCATTCAGTAAGAGCTTGTGTTATAGATGTAATGCTGTGATATCACCAACTGTACATGACATTTCTCTGGCCAAGCAGGTCTCAGATAACTATAAGCTGTGAGGGCTTGATCTCAAGAAGGTTACTTTTTAAACTTTTCTCCCACTGCCACTACTCTGGAAAAATAGATTTGGGACAATTGAATCAATTAAATGAGAGAGTATTTGTTAATACTCTTGTACTGGCTTATCTCTCAACTGTCTAGGGGCCTTAGACTAAGTCTTTGCCTTCTACTGGGCTGCATTGAAATAGTGTGGCTTTATTCTAGAAATCTGGTTGGGTGTCCCATGAGCTGGGCAGTAGAATCCATGATATACATGTGGAGTTAGACATCAAGCCAGTACTGCAATGCAGTGGTATGTTTTATGTTTTTCAGGTGACTTCATGGTCATGACCTTCTTTTTCAACGTAAGCAGGCGGTTTGGCTTCCTTGTCTTTCAAAACTATGTCCCTTCTTCTGTGACCACAATGCTCTCCTGGGTCTCCTTCTGGATCAAGACAGAGGCTGCTGCAGCCAGGGCCTCTGTGGGTAAGAAAGTATGGTGTTCTTAAGTGTGAGTATATGTCAGGTAGTTATCTTGACCAGGGGAAATATTTGCCTTCTGCTGCTATCCTGTAAGCAGCGTAATGCATGGGTCAGGAGCTTAGCCCACCTTCACTCGTTACTCGTATAGGGGTCAGTTCTGTACTCACTATTGCCACGCTGGGCACCCTTTCCCGTAAGAAATTCCCTCGTGTCTCCTATCTCACAGCTTTGGACTTCTATATTGCCATTTGTTTCGTCTTGTGCTTCTGTGCTCTACTAGAGTTTGCTGTGCTCAACTTCCTGACCTACAATGAAACGAAACGACAGGCTTCTCCAAAGCTGTACCATGTAAGAACCGGCTGTTGGTATGGGAGGCAAAGCTTTAGAATGAGGGTACTAGGGTTATGACACATGGTTGGCTTACTTCCCAAGTGTTGAGAAGTTCACTGGGGTCATGGAGGAAATAAATATCCTGGTGTGGTGGTGGAAATCCCAGAAAGTGCAGAACTGGTGTGTCAAGTGTAGTTTTTAGGAAATTGTAGAAAGCGTTTACTTTTGAGTCATAATCCTTGAGTGTTTCCTTCTTTATTCTCTATTTCAGCTTCCCATCATTAGCCATGCTAATACGCGTACTCGTGCTCGTGCCCGCACCCGTGCTCGTGCCCGTGCCCGTGCCCTCCAGCAGCAGGAAGTGTTTGTGTGTGAGATCCTTGCCTATGAAGGGAATGCTGAAGAGGAGTATCAGTATTGCCCAGCCCAGCAGTATTCAAGCTCAAGAAGGCTCCAGTGTCCCCGGAGGCGATGTGGCAGAAGCTATGTGTGCTTCAAGGTTCTCAGGAAGTATTTCTGCATGGCTCCTGGTTGTGAGGGCAGCACCTGGCAGCGGGGTCGCCTCTGCATCCATGTTTACCGCCTGGATAACTACTCGTGGGTGCTTTTTCCCATTACATTCTTCTTCTTCAATGTGCTCTATTGGCTCATTTGCCTTAACCTGTAGGCTCCAGCTGGTAGTTCATGAAGCAGCCTCCTCAGTTCCCCAGGAGGTGCCAAGCCCCTTTGCTAAGGGAGTTGGGATATAACAGCAAAAGCAGCAGGAGTGCCCAGAGAGAGTTTATCCGTCCCTGGTTCCCAGTATGAGCCTGTGGAGAGTTTGTCTCTGATGGTCTTCTTCCTATTAGCCCCCCCCACACACCACAATCGTTATAGGAGGTGAGGAGCCAGCAAGTGGGTCAATTTTAGAAAGTAACCTCTCTCTGCTGCTGTGCCATCTCCTTCTCCCCACCCGCTTCCATCTGCACTACCAGTTCAGTTCCCTTCATCCAATGGGTATCTATTCTTGTGTGCAATATTTGTAATGCCCCCTGCTTTGTATGCCTCCTTCTTCCTTCTCCTTGATCCTTGTGATTTGTTGTGTAACTTCCCCAGTGACTTTCCCAGCCCTGATCCAGGTGCTAGGCTTTGGTGACTCCCTCGGGCCAAGAAACTGAGAACACCCTGTTCTGCAGCGGCCATTAGATGCCACTGACTGGTGCTCACCTCAGGCACAGTCGAAATGTTTGACTGCTTTCTTGGCCTCTGGACCCATAAGCCAGTCCACTGCCATCCCTGGGGCACTCACACAATCACATTCAATTGAAATCCCTTAAATTTATATAGAATTTTCCCTTTTGGCAAAGCACGTTTGACAAATAATTTCTATTTGGAGCCCTGTGACATCTTTAGGCACAGTTTGTTCTCCATTATGCAGATGGCAACATTGAGGTATAGATTCCTATGTGACTGTGGGTTTTGCTGGAAGCCAATCTGGAGTTTCCTTGTCACCTGCTAAAGCACATGTCAGGGCTAGGCAGCTCTGATCTCCATGACTTAATTCTGCATCCCAGTGGCAGCACCTAGAGTAGTAACCCCTCCCCAAGCATGGACCTGTCTTTATCTAGGGCCTGGGGTGCTCAGACTGCTTTGCAGGTTGAACTCCTGTCTCTAGTAACCCACAAAAACAAATTTGTACATGCCCCAATGCTTGTATATGCTGAACAGAATCTCTGTCTGTACTTTATGGGGATGGGAGGGATTGGGAAATCCATCTGCTTTTAGTTACCATCATCTGTAAAGGGGAAATATATGAATAAAAATATCAGCAAAGCATTTGAAATGTGGCTGTTTTTTCCTTGCATCCAAGCTTATTTTTAATTAAATTTATTGTTCAATATTAGAGAACCAAATAATAGATAATCTCATATACATATCTAATGCAATATGATCAACATCACTCCCTGTGCACTCTCTTATCTCCCTTCTGCTCCTTCCAAGGCCACTTTTCCCTCCCATTTTCATATGTATTTTCTGGTTGGTTGCTTGGTTTTGCGACCCCTTGAGTAGCAAGGGCTGCCTGACATGAACATGTTTTTTGGAGTAGGAGACGCACCAGTAATTACACAGCTGAAAAGCATGAATCTCTGATTCCTTATCATCATCATTCAACAGCCAATAGTTGCCTGTGGTGGGGCAGGATCCCAGGAGCCCTTCACTTATTCATGAAGAATGTTGACAGGCCCAGGTTTGTGCAGGTCCAGTATATGTGTCCTCAGTTGTTGGGAGTTCATGAGTGCAAAGGTCTTGCCACAGGCAGAAAACAGCATTTCACAAAAATGACCCATCATTTTGCTCTTACAACCTTCTCAGGTTTTAAATCTTAACACCAATTGCCTAAACCATTGTTCCCATTTCCTATCAACCTACCATACATGTACCAAGTACCCTTCTCTCATTCGTGATGATAATAGTGACAAAGGCACCAACCAGTGTGCATGGCTGCCTTCATACATTCTTTGACCTGCCTTCATCCCTTCTATGTTCCTTTTGCAGTGCTTTTCTCTCTTGTTCCTACCTTATTAGAGCTAGAAAGTTCCAAGATGCCACCAGGTCCAGTCCATTTCCCTGATGTAGAATCCTATGAAGATGGAGATGCTTTGACACAAAGAAAGAAGATGTTTTCTTCCTGTCATACAACCCACCAGTAGTACAGTCTGTCATAAATCTGACAGTAGTGGAATGAAGGCATATTCCAGAAATCTTAATATCTTTGTTCCAAAGAGAAATAATTTGTTGAGCTGGAGACCTAAGTTGTTTACCTCTCAAAGGAAATTTCTGAAGGTATATTGGGAAGCGTTAGCCCTAGTATCCCGTGACACTTCTATATCAAACAATAACAGGAGCCAGGAGGAGACAAAGTGTCTGTGAACAGTTGACATTTTTGTCACAACATCCTTAGTGTGATGTTTAACCACTTTTCCTTAAAAGAAAATTATATCCCTGGGTCGGAGACACGGATGAGTTGTAGAGTGTGAAAGCCCTAGATTTAGTCCCCAGTGCTACAAAAAACGAAAAAGTACTCCCATCTCTACTGCATATTTTCTGATGTCCTAACCCACTTCAAACAAAAAGTTACTAGAACAAGAAAGATGTTTCCTCCTTTTTTCTTCTTAAATTAAGAGACACAGGAAAAAATGATCATGTGGCTTCTCAGCAATGTAGACATGTAAATTGTGAGTATACTCATTTAAATGTGCTTTGAAACATAGAAATAGCACAAATCAGATTCCATACTTGTTCTACAAAAAAGTTCATAATACCTAATATTTCTACTATTTGAGGTCTTAAAAATCATGTAAATCAGGTGTTTAAAAATGAGGGAATTGAAATAGTAATTGGCTGAGCACCTGAAAAATTAATGAGGAAAATATTACATTAGCAAAACCCATGGGATGCAGCCAATAATAAATTTACATAAAGCAATAATAATGTAGGCATTTTAGTTACTAAATACAGTAGAAGGCAAGGGAGATCAGTATAAAAAATTCTAGAGACTAAAAAGATCAAAACACTACATCACAGAAATTTGTGGTAAGGAAGAATTTTGTTGTTGTTGTTGTTGTTTTTTTTTTTGGTGTTTCTAGACAGGGTTTCTCTGTATTGTTTTGGAGGCTGTCGGTCCAGCCTGGCCTCGAACTCATAGAGATCCGCCTGCCTCTGCCTCCCGAGTGCTGGGATTAAAGGCGTGCGCCACCACCGCCCAGCGGTAAGGAAGAATTTTAATAAAAACAGTATAGAGACAGCCACCTAGGCATTTGAAACACGTTAAAATTGTCCATTTATGCTGGAGAGGATGTGGTGAAAGGGGGACACTCCTCCATTGCTGGTGGGAGTGCCAACTGGTTCAGCCACTTTGGAAATCAGTATGGAGATTCCTCAGAAAAATGGGAATAAACCTACCACAAGACCCAGCAACTCCACTCTTAGGCATATATCCAAAAGCCGCCCATTCATACAACAAAGATGTCTGTTCCACTATGTTCATAGCAGCTTTATTTGTAATAGCCAGAACTTGGAAGCAACCTAGATGTCCCTCACCCGAAGAGTGGATAGAGAAAATGTAGTACATCTACACAATGGAGTACTATTCAGCAGAAAAAAATAATGGAATCATGAGATTTGCAGGCAAATGGATGACACTAGAAGAAACCATCCTGAGTGAGGTAACCCAGTAACAAAAAGAGAAACATGGCATGTACTCTCTCATATATGGATTTTAGACATAGATCTGGGGAGTGCCAGCCTACAATCCTATGGCCAGAGAGTCTGGGAAACAGAAACTTCATTTAGTGGCTGATCGAAGAAGAGGCAGACTCCCTTGGTTAAGTACTGAGCTGAACTCAGTACAGTAACAGAGAGGGAGGACTGATGATCAAAGTGATTAAGACTGGGCTGGTTTAACCCCCAGAAACAGCTGACCAGACAAAGGTTAACTCTTGAATCCCAGGCATCAGCCTGGGAATCCAGCATGGGACTGATCAAGACCCCCTGAATCTGGGTGTCAATGAGGAGGCCTAGGGATTCTATTGAGCCTTGGGCAGCAGATCAGTACCCATCCCAAGTATACACATGGACTTTGGACTCCCATAGAACAATGTGAGGTGCACTCTCACCCTGAACTCTTGGGGAAGGGTCTAGGCCCTGCCCTATATGAAATGACAGACTATGGACACCCCCATGGAGGGCCTCACCCTCCCTGGGGGAATGAGGGGATAACGGGGGGGGGGTTGGGGGGAGGGCACGGGAAGAGGGGAGGGAATGGGAGAGGGACCTGGAACTGACTTGTGAAGCAACCTTGTTTCTTATCTAAATTTAAACTGGAAAATAAAAAAAAATTGTCCCTTTCCTTTTATATCCAAATTAAATGTGCTTGTTTCAAGGGGAAAGGAAAGGAGGGAGAAAGGGGAGTAAGAGGTGATGATGAGTAAATTTATTTTATCTGTTTTAAAAGATGAAATCCCTCTAGGCATAATATTGGTGAGTATGTTTACATACTCAGATAGGAAAGACCCTTCTAAACATGACATAAAATACCAGAGACTATAAAAGAAATGACTTAAAATGTCATACAAAATAATAAAAACCCCAAAAGTATATAGGATAAAACAAATACACAGTCACAGTAGAAATAGTTTCTGAGTTCAAGACAGATTTAAAATCTTACATGTTTCTTTGTATGTGGGGGTGGATAGTATAGGTCATGAAACTAGATGGAGAGTGTAGGTCATGAAATTTGAAAGGAAATCCTGAAATTAGACAACTTGATCTAGGAAGGAGGACAAAAGTGTGTGTGTGTGTGTGTGTGTGTGTGTGTGTGTGTGTGTGATATGAAACTGAGAGAAGGAAGAGCAGTGAGCAAAAGGATGAATTCTAACAAATGCGTGTTTGTTTTATGAAAATACTATAATGAAAACCATTAGATGTCATGCTGTATTTCATGGCAATTATTTTCTTCAGATTGTAGAAATATAAGTCAGAGAATAACCTGCAGGAGTCAGCCCTCCCTTTCTACCTTGTGGGTAATGGGAATTGAACTCAGCTCATCAGGTTTGGTAGCAAGCATCTTTACCCACTGAACAGAGACACTCTAGTAAAGGAAAACAACTCAAGTATGAAGTAAAAATGAATCCTAGAAAGTTTTGAAGAAGCTTGGTGTAGCCAAAGTGCTACACCTTCAAGACTTATGACATCCTACTATTACTGGCCTCTTTTGTTGATAGGGGTAATGGATAAACATGCCTTAGTGAGAAAGCAGCCATGCTGTGGGAATCACTTAAAACTTCCAGTCCTGGAAATAGAATCATTGTCCAGTTACATTGAATTCAGATAAATTTCAGCATGAATATGATTCTTTGGAAGCCTTGTTTTCCTTTAAGGGGATGTTGCTATTCCAAGAATGAGCACAGAAGCATGTTTCGTATGTGAGCATCTCTGTCAGAGACAATAACCCTTTAGTAAAAGTTCTCTCCTGGTTCCCTCCTCCTTTATTGTTCAAAGATACTCTACCCAGTACAGCTCTAATGTTGTTATCACATCTTGCCATGTGTTTCCCAGATGGCTTAAACTGAGTTAGTTGATAACCAAAAATGATTCCAGAAAGCATGCTGTAAGAAGGGATTCTGAGACTAGTTTAGTTATATCATGCTAAGTAACAAACCTTCCTTGAATGGTGCATGGTCCACAGACTGTACCTTTCACACTGTGACTACGTCCAAATCCTGAAAATTTCATGGTGGCTACCCTGTGAAAACAATCCAATGGGGAGAATTCTGTTTTCTGGACCATACATTTGAAGGCTGAAATAGTAAAGGCTGTATATAGAGAGTGGGGTTGGCTAGTTCTTACTAGTTAGTACTATTAGCCCACACAAAGATTCAGAGAAATCCAAAGTCATTAACAACAGTTACTAGGTAAGTACGAGTCAGTGGGCTTCTTCAGAAACTTAAGAGCTGGTATTCAGATATGACTGGAAGATCAGTTAGTGACCTTTATCCTGCTAAGGCAATAATTTGAGTTAAATATAAGAAAAATAAATAGGAAGTTCTAGGTATGATAAAGAAGGAAAGAGACAATCCTTCAGATAAGGTAGAAAGCCTAGCTACTCTGTGGAAGAAGTCAGCAACAGACATTTGAGGATGCTTTATAAAGAAAACTAGAACACAAAAGAAAGTAGCCAGAAATCCATTTACATGAGGATGGTTTCTGAAGACATATTATTGAGCCCAGTAAGAAAACAAAGAGATGTAGCACAATCTTTGTTAGAGTGGCACTGT